AACCGTTTGGGCTCTGCACTTATTATTATTATCATTATTATCAACACGTCTCGATTATATTATAGATTTGCCATCTATGGTAACGTAACCTTGTAAATTTCTAGGATCCTGATGAATTTAGCTAATTTTTTTAATATTTTACAAATATTTAGTTACTTATTACTTTTATTTATTTTTTTGTAATAAACTTATAAACTATAGATTTTCTTATATCATAATTAAGGGCTATATTTATGTGCATATACAAGCATTTTAAAATTCTTACAATATACATTATGCATGTCAAATGCACCAATAATAAATAGTAAAATTTGTAGGTTGAAATGCATATGTACAGTACTTTACTTCTGTCTGCAAATAAATCTTATTAACCTCTTAACATTAATAAGATTTACTGGTATTAACATATGTCACATTTTTATGTGGGAGGGAATTAAAATACAACAATAGGTGATACAAAGGATTTGAAAATTAATATCACAAAGTACAAATTAGAATAACGTTTCCTGTAGGAGTGCACAATCACAACAATTATGAATAAAATTTTATAACATTTATGCTGCTTAATCAATGATTATTGAATTTATTTCTGTATATACAATTGTTTACAAGATGTTTGAGAATGACTAGGTTAACCTAGTTTCCCTTGTCCAATAATTGTCTTATATTTTTGTTTATAGACCTGCATGTCTGTACAAAAAATGACATGAGTAAATACTTATTAATTTATTAACTAATTATAGATGTAGTGTTGAAGAGTTGACAGTAATATTTTCTCCCCAACTGATACCATAAACTCTATTATAGTTAGTTTCAGTACAACTAGAATTTACCTATGATTAATTGCTGTTTTGGCTTGTTTTGATGCTTTATATTGTGTTGATGTAAAGACATTTCAATATTCTGAAACACTTGAAAACTGTTTTAGAAGAACACATTGGTTCTTTTCTGTTAATGGGATACCAGTTGTAACTTTAATCTGACACCCCTGGCATATCAGATTAAAGTTACAACAGGTATCCAATACCAAGATAAAATCACATGTGGCCCCAATGTGATTTTTTGTGGCCCACAGCAACTATGCTCTGAAATTAAATAAAACAGCTTACAGATCAAGATTAAGTGATAAACATCTATCTGCCACAATGAAGATTGATTTCAGTCTTTGAATCCAGATATTGGAAAACTAGGAGGAGGAAGATAGCACTGGCAAGTTTAAGTTGAAAACAATTAATTTTAGTTTTATAAATATGTACATTAAATAAAATAAATGTTTAAATAAAAGCAATACTATAACAATTATATATTGTTGAGTTTAATTCACTGAACTACATAATGCATTTTAATTGCTCTATCTACATCTATGTATATTCCTGCATTCTCACTTCGAATGATAATTTTAAGAAAATTTGTAAATGTGATGTAGCCTGTGTGAATTTTACCAGTCATATTAATGGCCCATTGTTTAAATGAGTTTGACACACCTACAATATGTGATACCATCGTCCACTAAGACTATCATGTTTAACTATTTAGCCCACGCAACCGTGCCAGCTTCAAGCAGCCCACTTGACTGTTCATGGACTACTTGATGTTATATAGTTTTATGGAGCTGTGGGACTCATCCCACTTGGGCGCTGAGGTGCAAGCGATAGCAAGCACCAAAGCATACACATACAAGCAAAGCATATAGAATAGGCAGTACACTGATACATGTTAAAAACTGACCTTTGGAGGCAAATATCTTGTGAAAGGTCAACAATTCTGGGGTGGTATGAAACCTCTCATTCAAAGCTTGAATCTTACCCGTTGCTGTACATATTGACTGGCATCCCATTAACAGAAAAGTGCCAAAACTTTTTATGGCATACATTACAATAAAGAATTTTTCCACCTGTTTTAAATGTCCAGGATTCAACTACAGTACACATTTTCTTAGCACATTAGATTTTCCTATCATATACACTGAATCAATTTACGGTGTGGTACAATCGATTAACAAGCACAAAAACAAATGTTTTTGAACCCCTTCTGGGCTCTTCATCAGGTTCCTACAGTTTTAGCTCGTAAAATTTGATTATTGAATGCTTTTCAAATAACTTCGTTCTTAAGTTCGAACAATTAGAAGAATGTGTGAAGGCTCTTCTAACATACGGGCTCATGATAAAGAGCTAGCGTATATACAGAGAGTTGCCGCAAAACATGGTTACCGCAAACCTATACATAAGATGATAAAAAATCATAGCCAGATATATGTAGATAGCGCATGGCTGGTAGACCAACACATTGATAACCAACCAGAAGACATAGAACGGATCCCCATCATCTATAACCCATATGTAAGATCTATATATGACAAGATTGCCAGGAAGTGCCAAATAAGTATTGCATACAGGAGGTGTCCCACTATTTTTAACATCTTAAGTAATGGGAAGGACCCTCCTGACCCTAGTAGAATACCAGGAATCTATAGTGTCCCCTTTGAGAGATAATAGATTCAATAGGGATTTAGTATATATAGGCTCTACTAAAAGATCCATAGGCATCAGAATGCAAGAGCATAGGGTGGATATTAGTCATGGGAGAACCAGCATGGCCCTCGCAACATACGTAACAGATCCGGACATAGTTGCCGACTTTAATAGGGTCAATCTTCTCCTCAGGGTACCTCCCAATGAACATCTCAAGTGGTTAGAGGCAATGCACATCTTTAAATCCTCTATCGAAACTACATGCATAAATTTTAAAAAGGAGATGATTTTGTCGATGGCCTGGCAAGGGTTGATACACAGCACGCTTTAGCCGCTTGTTATATCCGAGCAGGCAGACTTGACACACGTGCAACGTATAAATTTAAAAGAACTGTTCAAACTCAAGAACAAAGTTATTTGAAAAGCATTCAATAATCGAATTTTATGAGCTAAAACTGTAGGAACCTGATGAAGAGCCCAGAAGGGGTTCGAAAACATTTGTTTTTGTGCTTGTTGATCGATCGTACCACACCGTAAATTGGTTCAGTGTATGTGATTGTTATATAGGTGTGGTGAGTAGTTAATTTTTAATTTTCCTATTTTATCTACCTCCCAATTCTCTTCACTCCTCATGCTCCTTCTTTATACTGCTATATTTCTCTTAATTCTGAAAAAATATAGTTTTTTTTTTGCAGCATGACTTTGCCAACTAGTCAGCAGAGTTTTGGCTACTGGGAGTTTGAGGAACATCTCACTCTTCCAATGTCAGGAAGACACCTCCTCAAACCCCCTCCAGTAGCATCATCTCTGATCAAGAGGGAGGAGAGATGGAGATTTTTCTCCAGGTCCAGAGAAAATTTAACTACATTTAGAGGTTAAAATTAATGTTATTTTTTCTAATAGAAAATAAAATCTTTAAGACTGTGTTTTATTAATAAAGAAACATTCTACATATTTCATTTGTTCAGAAAAATACAGCAAAAAAGCCTGCTCTATCCCAGGCTTCATTGAGGCCATTGAGAGCCTTTATAATGAACATATTTAATGTAATTTCTATCTTATTACCCAATATTTACAATACAAATAAATTAATAAAATCATTTACTTCTAGCAGCTTAAAAAAACAAGGCAAAACAAATGAATCTTGATTTGTTTGTCCTATGTTGAATGTTTAAAAAAACATAAATCATTCCAATGATTGATTTTTGAATTGTGTGTGTCTGCTATTTTAAATACAATCACATTCAATTATTTTAGTTTAATTAATTACTTATTGCTAAGAATAAATTATTATTATTCTTATTATAGTCTCGTGTATTGTTCTAATAATGATTCAAATAAATATCACAGACTTAAATATATTAGAATTAAATCACTTCTATTGCTATGTACTTTTGCATCTGAACAAAAAATTTCTTATTTTTCATATTGGTTTATCTTTATATGTAGAACTCTTCATATCTAAACTGGCCATTTTTGGTTCCTTCAAATTTGAGATTTAGCAGTTTTACTAATATTTTACTATATAATGAAAAGTTATTATTTTTATTTGGAATTTTATGAATATTAGAGAAGTAATTTAACTAAAAAATTATATCATAATTAATATTAATTTTGTAAATTTTTTGTCTGATGGCAATAATTATAAGGACTTTTTGGGAGGACTTTGTCTTCAGATATTTATTTAATAATATTAATTTATTATTATTATTATTTGCCTGAATATATAAGTAAATTAAAAATCAGTTATCATTGAAATCTATTAACCTGAAAATTGAAAACATTATATACAATTTCTCTGTGTAGAAGTTACTTTTGTGTGTATATACTGTACTGTACTATACATATAAACATTGTATATATATGTATACATACACAATGTACTGTACATATTCAATATACAGAAATACCTCAGTTTTTGTTGACTTGTTATCATTAATTTTGGTTTTTGTCGATTTTTTCCACAGAAAATTTCTCAGATTTCGTCAGCATGCCCACATGACCTCACTGCTAATTTTGAAAAAACAAAAAGCATCCCATACGTTTTCCCGCTCAATGCAGCTATGTTTCTCGTCATGTGAGCATTATCCCATGCATCTAGCCAAACAATTCCATTGCCTTCCTTTCCTTTTAGCTCCATCATGGGACCAAAGAGTTTCCAGAGCCAGTAGCCCTTAGACTTTTATATTCATTTTATATTAATTTCTTATTGTTTTTAGTATTAAACACTATATTTATTCTCTATAAAATATGTTTTTGGTATGTATTTTGGAGTGTCTAGAACGAATTAACTGGATTTACATTGATTCGTATAGAAATAATTGCCTCGGTTATTGTCGGTTTTGGATGGCTTATCAATGAAAACAGAGGTATCGCTGTACACACACACATTATATATACAAGTTACATACCTGAAAGTAACTTCTTTCTCTGTTAATGTTTCATCAAAAAAGGAAGTTTCTGTCCTGTCCTGATTGGTATTATTTTAAAACGAAATGAAAATTATTTTATATATATAAAGATACTAACCTTAAATTTAACATCATCTTTTTTCCATTCTTCCCGTACGTGTTTCAATAAATCGAGCGCTCCTTCCCGAAGACTTTGATGAGAGTGACTCGAAATAAATAAATCGACTTTCTTCATATCTTCACTCATCTCTCCTCCAATAACAAAATATAATTAAATTCGTTCATTCGGGTGTTAAGTATTTTAAATATTAAAACAATAATCCTAGACTTATTATAATAGTTTACAATGCACACTTTCAGTAAGAGATGCCGGTCGTTAAATTCTCCAGTTTTAACCAACACCAACTAGGCCTAACGCCACACCTAAACATAAACTGCATTATTTTTACATCTCAAATAATCCAATTATTATCGAATTTGATGTATTTAGCCTAAATATAACTACTCTTCATAGATTATATTGTGTATTTGTGATCAGAAGGCTAAAGCTTTATCGATAATAATCGGGAAAGCAGACGACAAATTGATCCAGTGGAGCTTACGGAAAGATAGGGAATTTCTCTACCTGAAATTTCCCCGAAATTTTTAAAATGTACATTTTAAAAATCCTAAAACATTATTATTTGCCTAATTTATTAATTTAAAATAAAACTAAATATATAATTCATTGTAATAGTTCAAATCTAAATTTTTTTACTCTTGTTTTATTATTTCCCTATCTCTCAAAAAAATTCTTCTTTAGGGAAATTTTTTTCTATTTTATCACTATCATTTAAAATTTTGAAGTGTTAAAAAATAATTTATTATAAAATTTTAAAGTTTTTAAAAATATATTTTTTTAATTCTATAAATTATTAATAATTTCTTATAAAAAAAACTTTCCGTAAATTAATTTGTCATATTTTATAAAAAAAAAATCCTTAAATCAGCCAATTACGAACAATCTTATTTATTAATTTTCCAAACTCCGCCCAACTTTCCTAATCAACGTATTCCATAATTCATTCATATAAAATAATTAAATTATAATAAGCTTATACGATTCGTTTGTAATTTTTGATCTACACAGAATTAAATAAAAGCCAAGAATATTGATTATTTAACATGTTCAATCTATTTAGAGAATATATATTTATTATTTCATGTATTATATCTGACTGGAGAATTCATAAATTGCGGCATAACAATATAATACTATAAAAATTATTTTATAAAGGGAAGATAATTTTTAGAAAAATCAAAGATTTGCTATTAGTATAATTTATTTATGAATTATACTAAATACAATATTGCAGCATTAAAATATTTCGTATATAGAAGTATTAAAAATAATAATACAAAAAATAACTTTACTAAGATCAGTTTTATAGTAAAAACTGATCTTATAACTATAAACATATATTTCCGGCATGGATTTTGGAGCGCATTTTCAAATTTATAATGCCTTGTGCCCGCCACTGTTTTCCGACTAAAATACCGTAGAACTTTTATTTAGTTGACGAACATTAAAAGTTCGTTTGCTTTTCATTTAGTGTTTAATTTTCTATCTTTAAAAGATAATACAGGAAGTCATTTTCTGTTATATATACAGAGCCGTAACTAGCCATTCTTGTGCCCTGTGCAAGAATTTGCATTTAGGCCCCTTAATTTATTTGGTTTTTTGGGAAAATAATAAAACAAATACATTACAATAGATTTTTAATAAGATTTATTTTAATTGAATTTTTCTGGCTTTCATTTCAGCAAATTCGTTAATTACATCTTCATAATTAATATTTTTAACGATATTGTATTCTATTGAAATAATAGAAGTATTGAATAATCGTTCTTGTTCGCTAGTTGATCTTAAATCATTTTTTATTAAGTTTAACTTGCTAAAACTTCTCTCGCACGAAGCAACAGAAACGGGAAGAGTTAGAAATATTCGAAGAGCGACGTTGATATTTGGGTAAGACTCAATTAAACCAAAATCATGAAGCGCCTATAGAATATTAAGAGGAGATGCAGTTTCTATATTTTGTTTATATTTCTATATTTTCGTTACTTCAAAATTAAAACTTTTAATTTCACTTGTGAAGTTACTTTTTTAAATCTTTGCTATGTTTAATAGCGAGATCTGCAGCCGAGTTTTTTAAATCCCCAACACTCGTGTATTGTAAAGACGAGCCACAGAGAAAGCAAAAATCGTCGCAGATAGTTTTCATTTTTTCATAACGCCAATCTATTTGACACAATAGTGTGTCAAGAACACTGTAAATTTGTATTTTAAATAATTTTTCGGGTGTCAAGTTACTTCCTTCATCTGGCGTTTTATCTATTTCCATTATCTTATCTTAATTCTTTTTTTTTTTTTTTTCGTTTATTAAGAAATCCCTTTTCTATACTGTTTGGTTTGTTTTAAGAATATGATCAATAATAGCATCTGTTAATATTGTTGGCCATAAAGCTACAGTATATCATTTATTACTTCCATGTATCTATATATATCGAAGCGCTTTTCTGGACTATTTCTATAAGATATGAAATGGTGTTGAATTACAAACTATATAAATAAATATTTTCAACTCTGATTTTGATGTAGTTTAAAATTCATTTTTAATAACAATTTAAAGATTCTTAATCTAACTAAAAATGGGCCCCATTTGACTTCAATAAACCCTAGACTCCAACAAACCTAGATCCGACCACGGGAGGCAGTTCTTGATCAGTTTTCATTTTGAAAATGATCATTCTACAGATGCAATAGATACCGGTGCAATTATATTTTCAAAAATTACCAGTTTGACGATTTAAATTATAAAATACCAAATTTGTGAAGCTCTAAGCATTGCCTTTTTTTCTTTTTTTTTTTTGCCTATATGCAAGACCGCTTCTGCATATATCATGCATTTATGGATATTAAATAGACTATAATAATAAATTAAAAATTAAAATGTTTACGTAATTTAAATGGTTGAAAATACCACGTTTAGTCATCATCTATTTTCTAGTTGAATTTTAATACTTTTTCTTCACTTTAAACTTAGTTTTACTATTGTAATTCATGTAATATTTATTAAAATAATTATTCAATTCTGCGTATTATCATTTATTATATTTGATCTTACATCAAAATTAAATATTTCATTAAAAGAATAGAAATAATAAATTCGACAAGGATAATAAAATTACTAAATTATAACGAAGCTTTATTATGTAAATGAATTATTTTATTACATTACTTGATACTTCTTCCATCTTTAAAATGTCGATTAATTATGCTGATAAGTTAATAGAAAATTTATCTACTTCGGGAGTTGGCTAAAAATAAATATTTATTCTGCTGCACAAGCATGTTTTAAGATAATCTAAAGCTTGACACCAATAATAAACGTAACTTATGTAATACAGTACATGTAATTAATATCGTTTCAATTATCATAGCTTATCAAGCTGGGGGCTAAAGATTTTATAAAATCAATGTTTAAAGTTCATACATAAAAATGATTTCATATTTTTTTCCCATAATTTAAATAAATTCCTGTTCGTACAGAACCATTTTATTTAAAAATATATNGAAAATAGAAAGCTGAAAGTCCAATGTAAATGAAACATAAATAACAAATGTTAATACTGTTCAAATTGGTGACCTGCAGCATCAATACAATTCTGAGTACGAGTCACCACAGATTCTGTACATCGTATCAAAACGTCCAATGAGATTTCTCTACACACTGCTTGAATCTCATTCCAAAGAATGTCTAGGTTACGTGGTTTACGTTTGTACACCTCATCTTTTACTGTGCCCCACAAGAAGAAATCCAGTGGTGTAAGGTCTGGAGAGCGTGGTGGAAACTCGATTGGCCCCCTGCGTCCTATCCACTGGCCCGGCAAATTTTGATCCAGGTAAGCTCGTACGTCCCTGTGATAGTGCGGCGGAGCACCATCTTGTTGAAAATAAAAATCATCATTATCGTATAATGCACGAATGGCAGGAAATATGGAATCAGCAAGCATTGTTAGGTAATTAATACCAGTTACAGTGCCTTCAAATCGAAAAGGTCCAATGAGTCCCCTTGAAGACAAACCGCACCACACATTTACACCAGGCAAATTTACAGCTTTTTCAATTGTAATGTGAGGATTTTCTTCACACCAGTAAACACAATTGTGCCTATTGACAGTTCCATTAAGTTTGAATTGGGCTTCATCCGACCAAATGATGCTACCCATAAATCCCGGTTTACGTATCACCATCTCCTGAATCCATTCACAAAATTGCAACCTTCGATCTGGATCGTCGTCATTTAGCTGTTGCACCAGCCTTGGAATGTAAACACGATACTTGCCTCTCTTCAGAATGCGTAGCACGCTGCTAGCACTTACATCACTTTCACATGCCCCTTGCCTTGAAGATTTGTTAGGAGAGCGTTGAAACAGTTCCAAGACTGCCGTTGATGACTCATCACTTGTAGCTGTTCGAGGCCGACCTGAATGACCTTTATGCACATCACACACTGTTCCATGAACTTCGAATTTGTCTCGTATGCGTGTAATTGTTAATCTTGAAGGTGGTTCTGTATCATACTCCCTTCTCCACTGTCTTTGAACTTCATTTACATTTTCAAACTTCCAGTACCACTTAATAACCTGCTTACGTTCTTCAAAACTCAAACGTACGTCCCCCATGTTGATATTACAAATTCCAACTGATAATATAACATAGAGGGACGATTATGCTGCCACCTGGCGAAGAAATATAACATTAGCCTTGTAGAGCGGGAAAACTACAATAGTTCAAAGTGTGTATACATTTTTTTGAAGCACCCTGTATATATATAGGGCTTTAAACAATAAAATATTCAGAAAAATTTCATTTTATTGAAACTGAAAAACACTTTAAATCTGAAGTTTAACTTATACAGTATTTATAATCATTAATTTATTTTAAACTTTAGTTAATTTTGTGGTTAATTCAGAATCAGTGGAGAGACACTCAGATGAAAACATATTAAACTGGTTAAGGTATCTTCCTTTAATCTATGAATTAATGTACAAAAGTCTTTACATAGCAGTAGGACGAACGTCCGCACGTGTCGACAGACAGTAGTTCTAACAAAGGAACAGGTTAAGACAAAGGGTCATAAAACCTTTTGTTTGGTTATTGGGTAGGTCCCTCTAGTGGGTCAAATTGGTATGCGTCGAGAGTATCGACAAATTTATTCATTACTTAACACTTTATAATGTCTTAACAAGATAGCTGAAATGTATACAGTGTGTCCCAAAAGTATAGATAATAAAACAGAATTTCAAAATTTGAATTGCAAAAGAAACTTAAAATTATAAAAATAAAAGGCATCGCATAACACTTACTTTGTAGTCAAGTAGTAATTTAAATACTGGATCAAAACTTTCCAAAATACCACATGCAAGAGAGTTTAGTACGGAAGAAATTGCATGAATACGGAAATTGCTGTTTTAATAAACATATATACTCCTGAAAGTTATAAAATTTTGGAAAAATCATCACTAATACCTTCTAAACATCGATCAGGAAAGCCCAAAATCATATCTCAAATGAATGATAATTGAATTGTACGTCTTGAATCACAACAGAATAAATCAGTTCGTCAAATTTGGTGTGAAAATGGATTTAAAATATCAAAAAGCATTGTTCGTCGAAGAATTTCAGCAGCTCCACATATGAAATAATTGGATACCTTGATATAAAAAAAAAAACATCACTAACAAAACGAAACAAATTGGCAAAAATGAAGTGTGCTAAAGATCACATGCTGTGGAATGACCAGTGGTTCTCAGTCCTTTTCAGTGGTAAAAAGAAATTTAATTTGTACGGCCTAATTACTGGCATGATATGAAAGAAGAGTGCATTTTTTTCATCAGGTAACAGGGTGGTGGTTTTGTTATGGTGTGGGAATGCTTTGGATTTAATGGTTTGTCAAATTTAATAATTTTAACTGATAGACAGACATCTAAAAATTATCAAGAAGTCTAAAAAATAATTTATTACCCATTGGAGAAGAAATTGGAGGATCTGATTGGATTTTCCAACAGAACAATGCCAGTATTCATTGTTCACGTTCAACAACTAAGTGGCTGGACGATCATAATATTCAAGTTATGAAGTGGCCGACAAGAAGCCCAAACATTAATCCTATTGAGACCTTGTGGGACATTATGCTCGAAAAATTTATGCTAATAACAGGCATTTTACGACGTTTTCACAGCTTAAACAAGAAATCATTGAGTGCTGGTTTTAAATGGATCCAGAAATTTCACAAAATTTAATTAAAATCAGTGTCTAATTGCATTTTTTAAAGCCATTAACCATAATAACAGTTCTACAGTAGAGCGTCGTTTATCCGAATCAATTGGGGACTGGAGTTGTTCGGATAACCAATTATGTACGAAAAAATATATTAATTTATCCCGTGTTGAAATTTTTCTCCGTTGCGTGTCGCTTCGCGTTGAATTTTCGTCGATGTTAAGCCTAACGAAGACTATTGTATCGTTAAAAATTATTTTTTTATTTTGTACGAACAAAATAAATATATTGAAAAATATAAAAACAATAAAAAATTATATTTCAGAAGTTAATTTAGTATCAAAAACGTAAAATATTTGAGTAGCCCAAGACATAGCCAAAGATTACAGCGCCACAGCACTGGCGAAAATTTAAATTTGTCGACTGGAATCAAGGTCTTAGAGTATCTAAGACCTTGGACTGGAATTCCTTCGGATAACCGACCTTCGGATAAACGACGCTCTACTGTATTTCATATTAAAACAATTTCCATCAATTTATGTTATGAACTACTGCTCAAAGTTTAAACTTATTCTATATTTTTGGGACATCACGAAATACGTATTTTGTGTTTAACACGTTATGTAACTGTCAAATATTGTAAAAACAATTATATAACATTGTATCGCGCTATAAATAAACAATAATAATCACTCGCATTGTGAAATACTTAATATAAAAAAATAATAACGTAGATTATTTACATTGTTGGGACAAACTGTACTTGAATAAATGGGCTTCTTTGACCATTAAAAACAAAATTAAATGGGATTTAAAAGGATATCATTGTAACTTTTTTTAGTAATTTTATCATCATCATCTTATGAAAATAAGCTATAAAAGCTTTTTGCATCGAAAAAACTTTTTAAAAAATTCAATAAGAAATTATCTTGCAAATACATTATTTATATTAAATTTACATATATTGTAGAAATACAATATAGAATATTTTTTGAAGATTTGTTTATGAAAAGAAATATTTTTTGGTATAACATGACTAATTTCTTAGACATTTGCAGTTATTTACACAATAGTTTTTTTTTCTCGTGTAAAAGATTACTCAACAGGTTTCTACGAAATATTTATTTACAGCGGAACCTAATTTAAAATAATAAGCCTGTACAACTCTAACATTAAAAGAGATAGTTAAAAAGATTACTCAAAAAACTATTATTGTGTTATTGATAAAACAACGTATCTAATCTAAACGTATAAACTAATTAGAAAGTAAAAACTTTCATACAAAAAATCGATTTTACATCTTACATGCAAAATAATCGATAAATCGATTATAACAAATCATTTATTAATTATTTTCAAAAAAATATGTAAATCCAGTTAGTTATAACACACGTTGTAAACTTGAGAGTACCGAACGTAATTTAGAAACGTATAGCGTATGTGTAGCTGTAAAAAGTACATCTGCATGGTTATTAACTTGAAACACGTCAGTTAAATTTATAAATACAGTAATTTAATTATAAAACTTATACATGTAAATTATATATATATAAGAAAAATGATACTTTATTTCATTTATAGATACGTTATAAAATAAACGTTTTACATAACTCCGTATAGAATTTTTGCGAACGTAAATTACTCGAGAAATTTTCCATTGATACATTAATTCCCATTAGAATATGCGATATTTTCTATCGACATGGCTGATCACAAATGTAGTTTTATGTAAATTATCAAATAATATAACGTTATCGATACTGTTTGTAATTTTAGCATCAAATATTTTTCTATTAATACTTTAATCCGTTATGACGTTTATTGTTTTTTTAATACAATCACCGATCTAATTATTATTTAATTTTTAAAATTTAAAGTTTAATTTTTTTTTAAAAAAATACTGTTTTACATCGAGTATTGATTAAGTCACTCGTACTAAAAATTAGGGAGAGAAAAAAAAACTTTAAAAAGACTACCGTAACAAAAATCAATTGAATTGAGAAAATTTATGATACTTACCGGATAAGGCACAAAGAGTGTGTATGTATTTGCTGATGTGTTAAGCTATAAACTTGATTTCTATCTGATTGTAAAAGCGTTACGCAACAAGGGGAATTTTTCTAACAAAATAATACTTTTTGTCCTACTGTTTCACAATGCGGAAAAAATTGCTGACTGTACTTACTTCATTTCTACCTTGTTGATAACACGAGCGAAACAGAAAATGATGGATTCCAACTGTCACAATCACGTGGTTTTTATCGTCATGGTTACCGTTGACAATGAAATCAACGTAAGAAATGAAATTGAATAATTTTCTAAACCCACGTGGATTGTTATAAGAATGTTATTTTACGTTATTATAAATTATGTATATAAATTTAAATTTATATACGAGGTAATTTCCGGTGTGAAATCTGCTACACAGGATTATGTTATTGATATAATAAATCGTATCGTGAATTTCTTTCTGCATTTTTAAAACGATCATGATGATTCGTTCATTTCTACTTACGACGTTTTCTTCTTAATTTACGTAATGTTAGCACTGTGAAAATATTACATGCAATATGAAACAAAATGAAAATATTTAGAATTTTATTACTCAAATCTGAAATGTTTTGATATAAATATTTATTAAGTCACATAAAAAAATGGCATCAGTTCTTTCAGGATTAGTATGAAAAATTTGGGAAAATTCTACAGCCCAATGCTAGATAAAACTCGAATACGTGTTTCTGATAGATAAATTTAACTTGAATTAAAGCCAAAAACAAAAAAATGTAAGATTAACTATTGATTTTGTTTGATGTCATCGTTCTTTCCCAAAATAAATTTATTATTTTAATTCTTCGTCTCTGTCTTTTAACGTACAAGGTAAGAAAAAGTATCGGCAGGGGAATTTCGAATAGTATTTGTTATATTTCATTTGATAACACGTGTGGAATGTTAGGTAGCAGCATATTATTAGAAGTAAAGCAGTGATTGCGGCATTCAGAGCAAAACTATGTATAGACATACAAACATCGTGATCAATATTTGGATTTAGGTTATCATAGATGTAAATAGGATCAAATTGAGGTAAATCTTCGGGAGAATAAATATTAAATGAACGGCGCATGTTAGTTTCCATGTACTTCAAATCCGTACTACGTGGAAAACGATCCACGTGTCCATTTGTTAAATTATTTGGCCGAAATGGTCTGATAGATGAACTTTTATGGTTAATCGATGTACTTGGCGCTGTTCTACTAGATGATGCATTAGATAATATCTTTGGAACATGCTGAGTTTCTAGCGTAATTTCTTGAAGGCACGAACTGTGACATCCTCTCTTACAGATATTAACATTACAGGCCATAAAGACTTCTGATTTATCAGGAAATTTAAATGCAGAAATAAATGCATATGCTATTACCGTAGCTGTAGTAATTCCAGTCTGTTTAGTACGATAAAATCCATCGACAAGTTTAGCTTTAATTGGACAACCATCCGCATCTGTCAATTGAATTCTACGAGTTTCTGGAGAATTGAAATCTGGAGAATCGAAAGCGTAACAACTTTTAACCATGAGATCGAAAATACGTTCTTCGTCCCTTATAAATATAGCTAACGTTAGAATTTCTCCAATTTTGACTAATCTGTTTACACGTGGAGCAAATGGGCCTTTACCCAACTGAACTTCCATCCAACAATCGACTTGATCACCAGAGAAAACTAATTCCTGTACGTCTAACATGTCCACTCCTACTGGTTCGAAGTTAACAAATTTATCAATATTATTTGTCCATTCGCATCTCAAAGACTGCGCTCGATCCCATATTTCTTGATAGTTTTCATCATTTTGAAAGATAATTATATTAGATAATGAAAAATGACTTCCCGAATTGCCTTTGTCGTTTCTAGACGTTCCGCAACCTGATAATGGAATGAGGAAATCGTAAACAGTAGAATCTCTGCCAGGATTCACGTATCTAAAATAACAAAGAGTAAATATTTTGAAAACAATTGTTAAAGTTTAAAATATATCAAATTTAAACTTCTCGGTACAAACCAATATAAAGTACTTTGGTTGACAGCATTTAAAAAAAAAAAAAATAGTGAAGTATTTTGACCTCATTGATTAAGTTTTGTCGTGACAATTTTCTTTTCTTTCAGTACAGATTTAAAGAAAATTGCAACAGAAAATAATTGTTAAACATCTTTTTAAAAAAATATCAGATCAATTTTACCTGCAAAGTGAATTACTGTAGTACCCTTTAGAATAAACGATTCCGTTGAATGGACGATCAAATTCGATGTGAACGTTCATTCCATTTTTATCACACTGAACATTGAGAGTTACAAGCCTCGGAACAGTTGTTATTACGCAATTTATCAATCCAATTATCTGTAATAATATGGAAAATTACTGTGTGAGGGAAGCAAAAAAAAAAAAAAAAAAAAAAAAAAAAAAAAAAAAAAAAAAAAAAAAAAAAAAAAAAAAAAAAAAAAAAAAAAAAAAAAAAAAAAAAAAAAAAAAAAAAAAAAAAAAAAAAAAAAAAAAAAAAAAAAAAAAAAAAAAAAAAAAAAAAAAAAAAAAAAAAAAAAAAAAAAAAAAAAAAAAAAAAAAAAAAAAAAAAAAAAAAAAAAAAAAAAAAAAAAAAAAAAAAAAAAAAAAAAAAAAAAAAAAAAAAAAAAAAAAAAAAAAAAAAAAAAAAAAAAAAAAAAAAAAAAAAAAAAAAAAAAAAAAAAAAAAAAAAAAAAAAAAAAAAAAAAAAAAAAAAAAAAAAAAAAAAAAAAAAAAAAAAAAAAAAAAAAAAAAAAAAAAAAAAAAAAAAAAAAAAAAAAAAAAAAAAAAAAAAAAAAAAAAAAAAAAAAAAAAAAAAAAAAAAAAAAAAAAAAAAAAAAAAAAAAAAAAAAAAAAAAAAAAAAAAAAAAAAAAAAAAAAAAAAAAAAAAAAAAANTTTTTTTTTTTTTTTTTAATTCTTGAAACAATTATACGTATATTTTTTAAATTAAATTATTTCATGATAATATAATTAATTTAATAATAAGTTTTTAATTATTTCTATTTAATAATATATTTAATTTTTAAATTTTTCTGTTAAAAATGAGATTTAAAGCGATTGCTAATTAATTAATTAATTAATTAAGTGTAGGTAGTCGAATGTTATGCTATTTTATAGGACAATAATTAATGTTTTTTTTAAATAAATTTTCCTGAAAGATAGTGTTATTTAATTAATAATATTATAAAAATAAAATATATCTATTATTGTAATTTAAATATGTTATTTTTTTTGACATTCTCATAACAGATTATTATTTAAGAGTTTTATAAATCGAATTATTTGTATAATGATAAAAGTTAATAGATAAATTCTGTAAATTTTAAAATTAAAACAGAAGAATTTAAATTCAGAATCGATCTTTAAATATTAATATTTTAAATTCTAATATCTATCAAAATGTAAAATTAATAAATTATTTTTTTTTTAATTGTAAAATGATTGTATTGATTAAAATTGTTGAAATGTTAAGATTTAAAGATGATTTAAAGTTGTAATGTTTAAATAATAATAAAAGCTAGATAAGTTAATCGTAATAATAAGATCTAAATTATATTTAAAATAGCAGGAAAGCCAATAAGTTCATTTATCTAAGCTCATATTTATAGAAATCTCAAAAATATTTGTCGCAAATTATTTATTTTATTGCATATTAAAGGGGGGAATTCTAATTTTTGTCAAATTTTATTCATTACAAAATATAATACAATTTTTAAACTCTGTTTTAAAGATATTAGAGGCCTCAAAAGATAAATGGCCTGACCCTCTATTGATGTGAAAAGCTTGGAACTTACACTACAACATTTATAAATTTAGCATTTTTATATTAGTACATAATGTATTAAGTTATAATTTAAACACTGATTCTACGTTTAAATTTCCATCAAGTTTTAGTTTTAAAATTTATAAAATTCACTTACTAATCTTTAGTACCATACGGTACTAGTAATTCAAATTAGGAAACTATCACAAAAAAAAAAAAAATAATAATAATAATAACATATAAAATCTAACATGGAATAATGAACTTTGATCCGGTAGCATCGGTTCCATTTACAAAGATCAAACGTTATATTGAACCTGTTAAGGTCTGAAAAACGACCTAGTTTACGAGGATCACTAACATAAATATGTAAAAGTAAGAAGCGTGTATGAAGAATTGGTGCCACTTTACAAAATTATTAAAAATATATACAGGTAATTATAGTTTTAAAATATTTATATACAGTATAATATTTCAAATCTTTATTAATTTTAATATTTGATATACTAACGACAAGTTTTTTAATCGTGGCTTCGCGTATCGAATGTATCGATAAGAATTTCGAAAGAAATTAATAGAATTAATAAATAAAAAGATTGAAGATTATTCCTATTTTTTGTAATTTTTTTTAAACATTAGAACTTAATATTATACAAGTATAAATAAAATTGCTTTGTTTTATTATTATATACACGTTTAGTTCTAAAATTATGTTACAGTTAATCATAATTTATGGTAAACAATTGGAGGTAAAATAGCGTTTTTAGACCTTTGGTGGAGTTCAGAAAAGGAAGATGCTCCTCCAGAAGGGGTCGAAATGTCGTTCGTTTGCCTTAACAGGTTTAAACTGTTATATCTTGAACGTGAGCTATTCAAAATTAGAACGAGAAGAGAAAAATCTATTTTTTGAATTTAGTTTATTTTTATTCTTGACCCTATATTTGCTAATTTCAAAAAACAGAAATAACATATGTATTGTATAGAAATATGCTTTCATTAAATGTGCTTAATCTATTTTAAACAATAGGGGTTTAAGCAGATGTTTTTTAATCAAAATGGAAGTAAATCAAATTATTTAGGTTGCATCTTCAATCTTTTTTTGTTTTTTTTTACTTTTATATTTATAAACTAAATTGTTAGATCTATATAGAGAAAGTATTATTTTAAAATGATATATTTAAGCATTTTTATTTATATAATTTCTTTTAGGATTATATCAAAGTTATATCAATTTTAATGAATTTCTATTCTTTTTAGTTTAATTTAATATAAATATTTCGAGAAAAATACATTTATTTTGAATAATGTAAAACCTTTGTTTTATAAGGTTTCATTGCTTATTAATTTAATTTCCTTTTGTATATTTATACCTAACATAAATATAGTAATATTTATATTAATTTATTTTTATTTACATACAAATTTTGTTTAATATATATTAATTATATTAAATAAAATTTGTGCGTAAATGTAAGATAAAATTATATTAATGAAAGCATTTTTATGATGTTTATTTAATGGTTACTTATCTTTAATTTAACATGGTAATACTAAGAAAAAAATTTATATGTAAACTACATTATTGGTATTTAAACTATGCTTTAATGATAACTTAATTTTAAACTAAAATACATATTGTATGTAGAAACAAAGGGAAAATATCTAATTAACGTGGATCCGAAAATTTCTTGTTTGCGAGGGGGGAAAAAACCCTTAAATTTGTAGCAAGATTCTGTTTAAAAAGGGTCTGTTTAGAAGGCAGAAGCGAGACGTTTGCACATCTTACGTATTTAGATAAACATCTTTTAAAAAGACGTTTTTAAACAAGAACCTTGCTATAATTTTAAGGGAGTTTTTCTCGCCAACGAGAAACTTTTCCTTTGTTTTTATGCATAGAATACGTCTGCCAACTTTAGCTACACATTTTACATATAACAGATTTTATGTATAAATTAATATATTTATTTACACATTAAAACTGTTATATAGTATAATGTATTAATATAAAGGAAACTACATTGATAAAAGAGATGCTAAAAATTTGTTTATTTTTTCTTTATTTAATTGAACTCTAATTAGAAAATTAAAAAAAAAATATATATATATATATATTAGTAGCGTTGAATAACATAAAGACCCTAATATTAAACTAACATATTAATACTTACAAGTAAAATAAAGAATAGAGCTGTCGACATCTTTATTTTCAGTAAAACTATAAAGATAAAATGTTTTTAAAATTTTATAGAGAAATAAAAGTAAAATAATTAGCTTTTTAATTTAATTTAATTTTTAATAATTGAATTACTTCTTTTAATCGAGAAAATTATTAGTGAAAAACTCACCTTAGTGACTAAAATCGATCCTACTTTTGTTCCTTCCTGTATGATCTGCATCCATTTTATATGCAACTATGGCACACTTTCTAACCTCTGATTTGCTTCAGGCACGTCTTCTTTAATACTCATCCAGTTCTCTTTAATATGGGACGTCACAGGGAAATTTTCTTCTTTAAATACATCTTCCTTCATTTAGAATTTGTGCGCTCGAAAATGAAAGGTCGCGATTTATCTGCACTTTTTACCTTATTACTAATATTCGCACGATTATTATTTAATTTATTTTTTATAATATATAATATAACAAAGTGACGACATAAATTAATGCAAAATAATTATATATAATATTTTTTTTAATTATTAACTAAAATTTTCTGTTAGTGAGTTTACCCATAGCCCAGGGCTTTATGAAAGAAATGTATCTATTGCGTGCGTGTGACTGAGTGAATAATTTCGATCGTCAGTATATATACACCAGTATATGAAATTGGAAATATGCATAATTTTTCAGAAAAAAATACAAAAAAAATTAATTTAATAGCTTATTCATCAATAAATTGCGAATATTCAAATGTTAATAATATTTTCTGCAACCTGAGATCATTGAACATAGCAAATTGTGTAACTTTATTAGAAAACCTGAAATAAATTTATAAACAATTTGTTTTACGAAATTATTCAATATGTGGCAAAAATCTATTCTTTCTGTTGAAATATATTTAAAACATACATACAAAAAAATATATATTTATATAAATAAATATGTTGGAGTGAATTTTTATGAAAACATATAAAATTTGATAAAAATTATATATATATAGGGGAGACCGGGGCAACTTCGGCATGCGGGGCAAGTTTGTCAAGCGCTTTTTTTTAAAAACAAATTAAAAGGAGACTTTGGTTATAGGTTAGGCAGTTGAGTTTTATTGGTGGCTTGTTGAGTGTAGTGTTTTTATTGTTCTCCAACAAGCGTAGTTGAATTATCAAGCAAATTTTCATTTTCGTTCAATTCCATATAATATTTTTTTTCCATTTATATTGAATTGGCAGGTTTTGTTATAATTCCATGATAACGAAAGTTACTTTTCCTGTTAGAAGGATGTAACTTCAACTTATTCACGTGGCCAGATCGTGGCTTGGCATTCTGTTCTCAGGGTTGTACTTAATGTTTCGAAATCATGACTAGCGGGGTAAGATCGGCAACATAAAGCCACATTAGAAGCAAAGGATAAAAATCAAACAGATGATAAATGAAAACATGTTTGCATTTGTTATTCATGTATATATGTCTTTGAACTTGCATTTCGTTGTAATAATATTAAATGGGTGTTGGATTTGTATTTCTTTGTTTTAATAGTGAATTCCAACTTATACATTGTTAATAACATAATTTTATATACGTGCCTATCTTGCCCCATTACTGTTGCCCCTATACCAGGGGCAACTTTAATAAAAATAATTAAAATAATTACAACTTTACAAAAAGAGAGAAGTTGCCGATCTTGCCCCGGGTATAGGGGCAACTTCGGCAATTTCTCTCTTCTTGTAAAGTTGTAATTATTTTAATTATTTTTATTTCCAAACTGATTTTAATCAGTTCTATAGTAAGAAAACGTTCCAATAGACAATATGCAAAGCTTTTTTTTTTCAGTTTACAGCAGTATTTATTACACAAAATTTAAGTAAAGCTTAACATGCCGATCTTGCCCGGTCTCCCCTATTTATCTTTATAGATCTAGATGAAAGTCAAAATAAATATATATGTTAGATAAAGAGTTCTACGTATTGGCATCAAATTTGACAAAAAAAAACCCTAAATCTCACCCCTCTTAACTTAAGCTCGAGCAATTTTTTTGTGTTTTACAGTTTCATTACCGTAAATATTCAAGTCAGTAAATATACATTTTAGTTACTAAGACCATTACTTTTATCACCCTCTCACAATCAACTTCATCAATTCCTCACCCCCTCAAAAGCTCGAGCAAAGCTTAGCACACGCGGCTAGTATTTACATATAATTTAATTTTGGTCTAAAATATTGAATTCATCCGACAGTTTCATAACAGGAGAACGTTGGTCCATAAGTGTTTATAGACCAAAAACTCATTTTTGTGAATTTAATGTAATTTAACCTAATTTAGGTCTAATGCAATACCTTTATACGTTACATTTCTTTTATAATAATATACATTATACTACATTTTTTTTTATTTTTTGTAAATTGGAAAGTCTGTCATATAAGGAAACATATCTAAGATATTTTGATAATTTACGCCTAAGAGAAAACTGGTAAAAATAATTTTTTTAGAAAAGTTTATGCTACATTTTACATTTAAAGGATGAATCAGACCAAAACGTTTATTATAGTAATAGAATTTTATTCGAAAATTTCCCAAAGAATATAACACAAATTTGGATGCTTGATTTTAACGCGTGAAAAACAATCTAGCAGCTATAATAGTAGCCTAAATTACTTCTTTTATGGCTGGGAACCGGATAAACAAATCTACTGTTGGATCTACTATTCAACCACAAGCTTGAATAGTATTCTTTTTGATAAAACCTATAGAAAATATACAAATTTATATCCAAAAATTGGATTGATTTAATCGATTTTTCCGTTTAAAAGAAAAAGGAAAAAAAAAACGTCTAAAATTTCTTTTAAATATATTGGCAATATTTCAATGCATAGTTAATATTAACTCAATAGGTATTGATCATACAACGATTTTGATGGAAGTAGATTTTTTTCCTCAGTTCAAACTTACTGAATTTATTTTTTATTTATGTAAATTTACATTTAGAATTTATATAAATTTTATTTTTATTTTATATCTATAAGCTATCAGAAATTCTCCCAAACTTTCAAAAACAAACCATGTAAATTATTGTATAAATTCTACACGATTGTTTTATCCTTTGTAATTTTTAATTAAATAATTATCATGTTTTTAAATAAAAAAATAATATTTATATTTAAGTTATATGTCTTTATAATAAACATTTTATTTGTTCTCATTATCCCTATCTTGTTTGTATAATCTATATCAAATATTTATCAGCATTTTTCAGATAAATAAGTCAAAATTTGATATGTTATCTATCATAAGTTAGTTATATAATTGCATTTTAAAACTCTAAACAAATTTTAAAAAAAGGCTATACTTATATTTAATTAAAATTTCCAAAAAAATTGGAAAAATAAATGAAATAACTTTCTATATTCTAAATAAATAAAATTAGATAATAAAATAATTTATATATAAATGTTAATAATTTATTTAAAACATTTGTTTAAATATAGAATAGCAGAATTTAACGCCGAAATTTTATAGCTATTTAAACGCACGTAATAAAATGTTATGCCAAAATAAATTAGGTTAGTGATTCATCTTGGAAGAAAACATCTTGTTGTTAATCGATAATCGAATTCATAGATCGAATCGATCGATATATTGATCGATGATCAAGATGAATACTTGCTTAATTTTTCTTAGAATTGAGTATAAAACATCATGAATCATGAAATTATTCTTATTGTAATTAACGTTTATGCTACTATTTTTAATGATTATATTTCTTTTTAATAAAATATAAAATTCATCTGGATACGAGTCCAAGTTTACTTGCCATGTCTAATCTCTGCAATGGAAATAGTTGTCTCTGCAATGGAAATAGTTGTTCCTGGTGATTAGACATGGCAAGTAAACTTGGACTCGTATCCAGATGAATTTTATATTTTATTAAAATGTAATTCTGCCAGCCCATTTCTACAAACAGAGATTATATTTCTGTTGAATAATAGAAATAATTATTGGGCTGCAATTCAAATTTCGGACATATAATTTTCCACTGTCTGTCCTTTGATAGTCTCGAGAATGGAGTTAATTAATTAAATAAATAAAAATCGAAAACAAATATGGAAAGCTTAGGGACAGGAGGCCCTAATTATATACGAACTTCCGGTCCAGACCGGAAGTCACATGACTTCAATTCAAAATTTTCTCTAGAATGGTGTTAGATAGATGAAAATGGAACCAGATACGGAAAGATTAAGGACCGAAGGCTCCGATTAATTCTAAATTAAAATATGATAATGATGTCACAATAAATAATTAAGATCTTTTTACATTTAAAATATTTTTATATTTTTTACAATTTTTTTAAAATGAAATCGTTTTAGTTTTTTGCATCCATTCAATACGAAACCGAAACTATTCCTCTATTATTTTATATTTTAAATGACATTCGTATAAGAATATATTGATTCTATATGAGCGAGGATTTCACAATATGTTAATAAAGAAAGTAATTAGAGGTTGAAAGGCTTGAATGATGTATTTTTAAAGACTTTTAAAACATTCTATGACAATATAGCACAATGATTATGGATTTAAAATTAGTATATTATTGCCTAAATACATGATTAATTTTACACATGAATAAAAATGAATTTTTGAGTTCACGAATATGAAGAACCAAAATAAACCATTTCGAAACAGATTCAAGGCCGATAATACCGAAAATATGTTTAATAACATTAATATGTGTCAGTGTTATTTTTCTATGTGTATTCATACAATTATATGTTTGAAATATTGTATTTTTGATACATTATTAAGGAAGAAAATATATTAGAAATATTTTACAAACGAATTATAATTTATAAACTTTATTATTACTTTAATATTTATTTATTTATTTTTCAGTTATCGGACAATTTTTATTTTCGCGATTTTAATTTTAATTCCCCTCCCTCCACGTCTGTTTAATTTGAAAAACCATCACCAGGTCGCGCGACCTTAACATCACGTGATAATAAGACGCCATTTTCTTCTGGAAACAGCTGTTTGGCGTCAAGTTTGCTCAACGTAAAACACTATGATTTTCAGTTCGAACGATATATTAACTCCTACACAATTAAAAAAGTTGTCTAATCATGAATATAGTGCTTTAGGATTGACTTTATTGGATCCTTACGTCCAACCTTACTGGAATTGGATAGTAGAGAAATTTCCGATATGGTTCGCACCAAATTTAATGACTATTTTGGGTTTATTGATAAACGTGGTTACTTCTCTTCTTCTTGTCTACTTCAGTCCCGATGCCAGACAAGAGGTGAGGTTTATTCTTTTATATAACAATAGCTAATTACACTCCATTCATTTCCTTGCAATTCATTTTATTTTCCACTCCAATGAGCCTACACCGTAAAAAAATTGGTAGATAAAATAACCGTTATCCGATAAATTTAGCGATTATAAAGTTAAGAAATCATCCATTATCTTGTGTTAAATGAATTACTGAAATTTCAGTGTATACATTAGTTATATACTAATTAAAATGTTAATAATGTTTTGAACCCAGCAAATATGCAGCAAACAAATCCTGAGATTATCAATTATTATTGTGGAAGAAGTAAATTGGTAATGCAATTGTTTACATAATTGTGGTATCAGAGAATGTCGATCAATACAAAGGTTGTTTATTGTACAAAACTGACAATGAAGAAATGTTAGGAAATGTTTTATCATATAACAGATTATCAATGTTTTTACTACCAGAAAATTGATTATAGTAATGAATTTAAAAATAATAATAATAATAATGCGTGCGCGTTATATACGGTTAACGGCTCCGTAATACGTAAAATATGTTATGTATACACTCGATCGTTATCGATATTATACAATTAAGCACTAACCCACTGTAGTGTTTCCATCAACTTATTTGATTTGTGTACATATCACTGGTTAACAATACAACAATGCTATATATTATATTTAATAATGGTTTAGATGGAGGAATATAAAAATATACTCATTAAAATACCAAAAGTTAAAGATATTTTTTAGTAAATTGCATATTTTCCCGCTTTTATCTTCATCTTAATCAGTTTAATCAGCGCGTATTATAATAAATAGATAGGATTAAGTTTGGCAGCCATGGTTTATAAGGGCTTGAAACATCTAATCGTTACTTATAATAGCGAAGGTTGATAGATAATACAAGCCATCTTCTCGTCTTCAAAATTTAATCATCGTGCTTAAAAATTGTATGAGAAACAATCAGAAGTGTGTCAAGTAAATGGCAACATACATCCAACTTCGTCTTGATTTCTTTTGGGAAAAAATAACAGATTTTAATCATTATTTCGTGGAGTAATTTACACGTTTTCCACTAAAAGTACAGGNAGGGATAATTACAAAATAATTTTTATGTTCTAATATTAGCTTTAGTAATTTCCTTCAATTAAGTAATTTCTGTGATTAGATTTTGCTTGCTATAGGTTTCTTTGTGTAAATGTGGTGTTTAGCTACATGTTATTCTATACATAGGCATATATATATTTTTAAATTGATTTAAATTAGCTGTTATAAATGTCAAAATTTAGCTTTACTGTAATAATATGAAATATATTTTGTTCTTATACAGGTTGAATTTTTTTATTATTATTATTTAAAATATCAGTCAATGAATATTATGTTTGAAAATAGAATAGTAAGAATTGGAAAATAAACTTAAATGCCTGCTTTTACATTACAGATTGCTATAAAGGTAATTCTGTTATAAATTATTCAATTTAAAAAGACCTTCAAATGTATAATATCCTCGTATATAAAAAAAACATTTTTTGTCCTTGTGGTTTGTTATTATTCAATATTGATTTTAAAAATTAAAAACAAAATATATGAAAATGTTCTTTTTAAGGCAGCTATATTTCATTATTAGGAATTGAACTTTAATTTAATGAAAAATAAATAATTTCTTGTTGAATAAGTGGCTTAATTCAAGCTATGAATGAGACATTTGGGATCTTATCAGAGCTGTAAAGCATATCTTTAGGATCAAAAAAAGTCAAAGGAACCATATCTCTACAAGTGACCCTTTGTGAGATACAGCCCCCAAAATTGAGTTGCATTGCTCTGCTAAGACTATCGTGTTTAACTATTTAGCCCATGCGACTATGTCAGCTTTGAGTAGCCCACTTGCCTGTTTTATACAGTTCTGTAAGTTATATAGTTTTCGGGGGTGTTGGGGCTCGCCCCCCTCAGGTGCTAAGATGTGAATGATAGCAAGCACTGAAGCACACAACTACATGGAGTCAAGGCTTGCTAATGCTCGCATTGATGATGCGGAGCATGGAGAATAGGCAATATATTGATACATGTTAAAAACTGACCTTTGGAGGCGAATATCTCATGAAGGGTTGCATGTACAGATATGGTTCCCATGACTTTTCTGTTTGTATGAGGGGGTCGAAAAACCTCTCATTTGGAGCTTGACTTACTGAATAAGTTTTATTCTATAGTTGTTGCAAAAATTGATTGCCAGATTAATAAATTTTTATATTTACAAATTATAGTTTCGTAAGTAAGTGAGATTTTTTCTATTAATGTTTAAATTTTTCTATCATTATAGATTTGATAATTTTTAATTCATCTAACTTTTTTAGTTTTCCTAAATTTTGTTTCTGTTTACATTTAAATTTGTTCAAATGTTAACACTACTAAATTGCAGTAAAATATTGAAAATTAAATCTAATTATAAATAATAATCATTTATTAGTTTAAAAAAAATCTGTATATTATCAGAAGTATTATAAAATACATAAATTTATAAATTATGATGATTACACACAATTTTATTGCACAAATGTTTTATATAGAAATTTTAAATTTTATAAATGTTGCAATAAAGATTAAAGTTCTTTATTATTTTTCTTCATATTTTTAATATTTTCTGCTTAAATGCTTTAAGTTATATATATATATATTTTAAATCTTACTAACTAATGATATAAATTACATAACAAATATATTTAAAAAATTTAACTTTTAATTTAGGCTCCAAGATGGTCATTTTTCCTATGTGCTTTGGGTTTGTTTATTTACCAAACTTTAGATGCTTGTGATGGTAAACAAGCTAGGAGAACAAAAACTAGTTCACCTCTAGGCGAATTATTTGATCATGGATGTGATTCTCTTTCAACTGGTTAGTGTGAAACTTTTTAATTAAATTTCTTACTGACAATAACATTGTATTTTTTATTTTAATCAAATATGATGAATTCAATTTCATAATGATAATAAATAATGTATAGTAATTAAAATAAAATAAAAATTTCTATGAGCATGCCTAAAAGTGGATGTAGGAAGATTCTAACTTATCTCATAGTGGAAAAAATATTGGATTGCTTAATGTATTCAATGTGTTGTAATCAGGTTTTACTCATTTTTTATGGCCTCAATTAAACAATTTCTGTAGATTATTGGTCCATTTTCAGGCAAATGTTTATGGAAACTTTATTAGATTCTGATTAATAGAAGTCAAATTTATCAATTTTTCATTTAGTTTGTTACTATACTTGATTATTGATAAATAAATAATAATGAATCATTGTTAACAATGTAAAATTTTATTTTGTAAGGTATGAATTTACATGTTTAAAGATGAATTTACAATTTTTAATAATTACTTGTTATAGAATTATTTAAAATTTATCACAATTAAATCTTTATATTAACAAATATATCAATTGATAAAAGAATTAAGGTCAAAAATATATTCATTTACAGTATAATTTATTGAATAGTCTTTAATATTATAATTAGATAATTACAGATTAACTGTGTAACAAATACTTACTTTTTTTTTTATGCAGAACATTATAAATTTTACTTTTATATTTTAGTTGCATTACCCGTATAAAATATTTGTAAAAGAAGGAAAAAATAATTCTTTAATTGGATAAAAATTCAAATGACTACAAGCAAATTTTCTTTTTGTTTATTAGTTTTAAGATTAATTTTTCTTAGCAAAGTCTTTTGTTATCTAATCTATTTTATACATTTGATCAAATGAAAAGTTTGTTTTATACAGTTTCTTCAGAGTTATAAATAAATAGTACAAACTTCAAAATTTTTAATAATTTATACCNGCACACAACTACATGGAGTCAAGGCTTGCTAATGCTCGCATTGATGATGCGGAGCATGGAGAATAGGCAATATATTGATACATGTTAAAAACTGACCTTTGGAGGCGAATATCTCATGAAGGGTTGCATGTACAGATATGGTTCCCATGACTTTTCTGTTTGTATGAGGGGGTCGAAAAACCTCTCATTTGGAGCTTGACTTACTGAATAAGTTTTATTCTATAGTTGTTGCAAAAATTGATTGCCAGATTAATAAATTTTTATATTTACAAATTATAGTTTCGTAAGTAAGTGAGATTTTTTCTATTAATGTTTAAATTTTTCTATCATTATAGATTTGATAATTTTTAATTCATCTAACTTTTTTAGTTTTCCTAAATTTTGTTTCTGTTTACATTTAAATTTGTTCAAATGTTAACACTACTAAATTGCAGTAAAATATTGAAAATTAAATCTAATTATAAATAATAATCATTTATTAGTTTAAAAAAAATCTGTATATTATCAGAAGTATTATAAAATACATAAATTTATAAATTATGATGATTACACACAATTTTATTGCACAAATGTTTTATATAGAAATTTTAAATTTTATAAATGTTGCAATAAAGATTAAAGTTCTTTATTATTTTTCTTCATATTTTTAATATTTTCTGCTTAAATGCTTTAAGTTATATATATATATATTTTAAATCTTACTAACTAATGATATAAATTACATAACAAATATATTTAAAAAATTTAACTTTTAATTTAGGCTCCAAGATGGTCATTTTTCCTATGTGCTTTGGGTTTGTTTATTTACCAAACTTTAGATGCTTGTGATGGTAAACAAGCTAGGAGAACAAAAACTAGTTCACCTCTAGGCGAATTATTTGATCATGGATGTGATTCTCTTTCAACTGGTTAGTGTGAAACTTTTTAATTAAATTTCTTACTGACAATAACATTGTATTTTTTATTTTAATCAAATATGATGAATTCAATTTCATAATGATAATAAATAATGTATAGTAATTAAAATAAAATAAAAATTTCTATGAGCATGCCTAAAAGTGGATGTAGGAAGGATTCTAACTTATCTCATAGTGGAAAAAATATTGGATTGCTTAATGTATTCAATGTGTTGTAATCAGGTTTTACTCATTTTTTATGGCCTCAATTAAACAATTTCTGTAGATTATTGGTCCATTTTCAGGCAAATGTTTATGGAAACTTTATTAGATTCTGATTAATAGAAGTCAAATTTATCAATTTTTCATTTATAAAGTTAAGTGGTGTCCATTTCTCAAGGAAGATATATATTATTATAGTATGTATGTATTCTTTAATACTTTTGTAAAATATTTTAGATATTGTACAGTACATATATGCTAATATTATATGTAATCTTTTAGGGAAATGAACATAAATTTATTTACATACAGTCAAAATACTTCTAAAATTTTGTAGGATACTGCCTTTCTTTGCATGGAATATTTAATTTTAAAATTCAATATAATTCTAAAATGCATACACTTTCCTGTTTTTAAAATATAATTGTTTTGAAAACTGAAAAATTTCTGTAGGTGTGTAATTTAAAAATTGCAGTTTTGGCAGTCATATCTGTTTTTTTTTTTTTTTAAATAAATTTGAGAATGTGCTAGAATAGATTGTTGCTTGAACCCTGTAGATTTAAATTCATGTTGTCATAGAGCATAACCAAACAAATTAAATAGAGCAGCTTTATGAATAGCAAAGAATTTTAGTTGGCGGATTTTACAAACAACATGAGGAAAGAGGAAGAAGCTTCACAGTTAAGCATTTTGTGGATATAAGGATGATAAGAAGGACAGTTTAGAGCATCACAGAAATGCTGGAAAGTGATAACACTTGATAGATGACTAAGGAGTAGGCAGAAGAAAATTAAAATGGCAAAGCAAAGGAGAGTAATTGGAAAAAACAGATGGTTGGAAAAGTTGGACAGTCAATAANACTTATACTTTAATTTGTATATTGAATACTTGATTGCACTGTTAAGAAATAATTTTAGATGTTATCAATTTCCTAAATGTCATTTATATAATAAAATGTTACAAAACTGCTCATTACCTTATAAACTTAATAATTTCAGTTACTATAAATGAAATAAGTGGTACTATTCTTTCTTACTTTTTTAAAGTGTGTTTTGATCAGATTTTTTAAAATTATTTGCAAAAATCGAAAATATCTACAAATTTCTTAAAACTAGACTTGGTTTTATCTTTATTGCTTAGAATATATATTCTCTTTGATGGAAATATAATTTAAAAATTGTAAAAGTCACAAAAAAACCAAATACTAGCAGAAAAAGGGAAATAGAGCTGATGTTTTTTTGCCCTGTTGAATGAGCATCATCAGGCTAAATAGCCTGATGATGCTCATAGCTGTTGAAACAACATGGGATTGCTGTACATGTGTGTGTGAAGAGGGGAGGTGACATAAGAAAGAGGGAGGAGGAAGAGGGATAGTGAGTTTACAGTTTGTAGAACGACTTCCACATTGGGGGAAGGATTTTATGTCACAAAAGTTTGATGATATTTTTACAGACAGTCTTATTCCTCTTTTTCAACTGGTATTTGGTTTTTTGTGGTTTTTATCAAGTTAACACAGTTATGAGTGGTTGTATTTTAAAAAACTAATATTCTTTCAAGATAAGTTGTTTAATCTTGAAAACTTCAAACAAAAATGAAAATTTACATTTTTAACTCTAGTTTTTTTTATAGCAATATTTTTTATTTCTTCTGGTGTTCTCAATATTTTGTTTTTATTTAATCATTTATTAATCATTCATTTTATTCTGTTCAATATTTTTATTATTAAAGAAATTTAAAAAGTTTTTATTTATAAAATGTTAAATTCTAAATTATTTTTCTTCTAACATACCAAGTTCTTTTTTATAACACCTTAAACTTGTTTGAGCAGTATTATGATAGTAATCAAAGTTTGCTCAGTGTGATTACTATCACAGTTTCATTCATTACAAAATGTATTTGTCTAAAAGAAAAAGTTGGTAACTTTCAATGATAGTTTATTCATAAAATTTGTCATTTTACAAAAATTTATCATCCATATGTTAATGTAGGAACAGCATTATATTTGCAGATGTTTTAGATTTTAAAACATCTGTTAGTGAAACAGCTTCATTCCTTCTAGATATTTTGGTCAGAAAATTATATGATCCATTTGCAATTTAATTACTTATGTTAGAAGTTTTAACTGGACTTAAAAGTATTGGACAATTCATGACTGTCAAATTAACATTTACACTTTATATAAGTTAAAAGCTGATTGTGATAAAATGATTTCAAACCATAAATTTTGTGTTTGGGCTAAGAAAAATTTATTGCTGGATGTAAATGCTAAAGAATCTTATTTTTTCTATTTGAAAATCTGTTTGAATAGGAAGTTTTGGAGGAAGTTTGATCAAATTAAAATTGTGTTAAATATTCTACAGTTTATATGTTTGACTCTAATTAAAGTAGATAGTTAAAAGAATTTCTCAAAATCACTAATATTTTGTACATTTTGAAATTTATGTATTACATAAATAAAAAATATTTCTAAATCTTCAGATTTGTACACCACATAATTTAGAAAACGATGACCTTTAAATAAATTAAAATGATTTACTACTTGAAAATAGTGTTGGTAACAAAACAGGTTTTTGGTAAACTGATTAATTGGCTTTTGATAAAGTATGGTTTTAGCAAAAAACCAAAAACTGCTCTTCAAAACCTGTTTTGACACAGGCGAAGAAATCAGTATCATTATTATGGTATCATTCTATTCACTTGCCTTATTTAATAACTTTTAGCTGTGTCAGTATAATTAGTATGCTTGGATTTAAGATGATTCCACATAACTGATATACTACCAGAAAATTTCAGTGTAACATTACAATTTGTAGATGACACCAATTTATCATCTTTGACTTTTTAAAATAATGCTCTGTCTTATTCATGTTTAAATTTTAAAATTAAAATTGATGTAAAAACTAGTATGAATTAATTTTAAAACAAAGTTCTCAAAT